TCATGTTTGTATAACATAAAAATTTTCTTGATGTATTTATACCTAAAATCTAATATTTTCTCCTGGGAAAATAGTTACTATAATAATGACAATAATCATGATAATTCCTAGTTGCCCTCCTCTTAGGAAACACCCATGGCTACAGAATTATTAAATCATACAAAGTACAACATATCTAAAAATAATTCCCATTAAAATACCATAATAAAACAGATTAAATCATCATATGCCTTCAGATGCCTGGGAATAGAAGAAAGTTTTGACCAGAAAGTACAATGAAGAAATGTATGCATATTAAAGCTTTTGTGGGCCTTCTCCAGGTGGGCCACTTCACCTCCATTCCTGGGAGTGTTAACTTGCAGGTTAGAGCTTTCACACCTCTACAGAGAGCACTGAGTCAAGATAGGCTGGGGTCCGTTGGTATGCCTGCCTCTGGAAATGAGTGTTTCCGCTCATTTCAGAATATTTTGAGAAGTGCACTAGACCAGTTGCTCCTGTGAGTGCTCAGCACAGTGAGCTGCTTTTCCAATAAGTATTCTGAGTGGCTAATGAACATAGTTATCTGATTACTGAAGGTGGCACTTTTGTTGAATTTGAGGCAGAAGCCTTGAATTTGGCAGTAAGAATAGTGGGTAAGGATGACAAACTGTAGATTCTGGGGGATCTAGAAGATCTGATAGTCTTATTTTATTTATTTAGCCATATTTATTACCGGTACACTATGGACTCTTTTCTAAAAAGAACTCCATGCAATTATGCTTTTCTTCCCAGAAATAGTTGAGAAGTGATATCCTTATTCAGTAGAGCATCTTCAGTGATACTGTCTTTCTCCTTCCAGCAGAATGTGGGATAGAATTCACTTTGGAATATGGGAAAGGGGGGGTGGGTTGAAGATGAATGTGTAGCTAACTAATAGGAGTAATTATGGCAGGTGAATGAAAAAGGAAGCCAAGACAGCTTGTGCACAACTAGAAATCATCTTGGGGTTGAGGGGAAGAGGGTAAACTGAGTTTTTACTGTATGTTTCCTGAGTGTGCACTAGATGTATTTTATGGAGTGCAGAAATGTGCTTGCAATTCAAGTTAGGTCCCATGTTGGTACTTCTCAAAGTACACATTTTTAAAAAATAAACACAGCTTAGCATACAAGTGACCTAGGAAGCCAAGGAGGGACCAGATTGTATGAGTTTCCATGTGCTTCAGCCAGAAGATTTATTTCCAATTTGTTATTCATAAGGGAAGAGCGCAAGATTGGGATGGGTCCTTTGAAGTGGAAAACAAAGTCTTCTATTCAGTCTTGGGTCTAATAGAATACACATGACATAGGCTTGGCATTACTGCCTGTTTTAAAAGCACAGCGCTTGTCATCTTTTGCTTTCCAGTACTGGGAACGCTGGTGGGAATGGGTATTGCCCTGAAAGAAAAACATGGCTAATTATTTCCTGCTGTCTTTAATAGTACACGCCTGAAGCAATCAGACAGGGAATCATTAGAAAGAAACAGGATGACCAAATCCTTGTGTACTCATATTGATACCTAGTCAATGTATTTACAATTTCAGAATTAATTGGATCAAAGAGAGTGGCCGGGGGGGGGGGGGGGCTTCTATAATTACATGCATTACTAGTCCCCTTATTCTTTTCAAGGGTATTCTACCTAGGGCCCTCCAGATGTTTGGGACTGCAGCTGTTTTCAGCCCCAATCAGAATGGCCAATGTTCAGGGATTATGGGAGCTGTAGTCTGGCAGGCACCAGGCTGCCTGGTCGTGATTCAAGAGCATGTGTGTAGGGAGGGGGAGTATTTAAATTCATTTTTCTTTGGATGTCAAAAGAATTGTACTGTTCATCAAGTGGCTGTTGGCAACATTCATGATCATTTTTGATGTGTAGGTTATCAGACAGCGGTTTTCATAAACAAAGGTCTTTATACTATTTATTTTGTTCAACTGCAATTTATGTTGCTCAACTATTTTGTTCAACTAGCAGTTGTTCGCATTTTATCAATGTGGAGCTGATGCCGAGAGTCTGGGGCTGCCCCAAATTATCTGTTAGCACACTCAGTGTTTTCAGTCTTGAGGTCAGGTCTCTTAGAGCCAAAGTATAATATTTTACGTCTCATCCCAATATAGTAGAGATTAGCTGTTTTCCCCTTCGGCATTCAGCTGCTAGTTGCACTGCCCTATGTCAGGAATGTCTCTATGGCAAGGCAAAGTGTGTTGTCAGCAGTGACAGATCACTGTGAGTATCGCTTGCCCTTCCATTAGGCATGGAGAAGCATCTTTTCAAGCAAGAGTTTGGGGTACCATGAAAGGGCAGGAAATTGTCTATTACAATTTATTGTTGTAAGCCGCCCCAAGGCTTTGGCGAATGGGGCGGCATAAAAATGTTTTAATAAATAAATAAATAAAAATAAAATATTATATAGTTTCTTCCTATATTTTAATAGCAGGAAAGGTGCTATTTGGATTTTCTGCCTTGGAAAACATTTCTAATAGGGCATACGGGGCAGAGAGACCCCTCCTCCTAAAGTCTAATATTGTAGTGTGGGGTGAGGGGGCTTTTTGCCTCTAGTGGTATGCTTTGCTTACAGTAGGCAGGAGCCCTAAACCCCAGTCTCACAGAGGGCCTTTAGATCCATGACCAATGGCAGTGTTATCTGGGGATGATGGGAGCTGCAATGGAACACATCTGAGTGGCACCAGGCTAATGAAGGCAGCCTTACCAGAACAATAATCCTTTAAGCTATCTGATCTCTCAGCTAACCAGCATCCATCATGAGATTGTTTGGGAAAAAAATTAAATGTAATTAGAACAACATACATGGCAAAGAGCTTACCATATGTGGCTGCTTAGCAATAATTCCAGACAGAGTATTTCTTGCTTGCCATGCACCTGAAACCTGCAAGCTACAAGGGGGTGAGCTTGCTCCATGTTTTTTCCAGATGGTATATTATAAGCTATCATAGTCAGCACCAGCAGCAAAATCGGGAGGAATTACTGTTACATAAAACCTCCCCTCTTGTTGTTTGGAATTTCTTGCCCCCATCCACACAGCTACCTTCCTGCATGGCCAATTTTCCTCTATAGCAAAGGTGACCAACATACAGCTCGGGAAGAGAAAAGGGCTAGAACGGGGAAGGTGGGGGGTGGGGAAGCAAAATTCAGGGAACAGTGGAAGGCTTGGAAAGCATGCCACAAGCGATCAGCTCAGATCTGACTCTCCTGCCCTGCCTCAGCAACCTTCTTGGGTAGACAGAGAAAGAAAAAAAAGGAAAGCAGTAAAAGGTGGGGAAAAGACAAAGAAGAAAGTGAGAGCAAAGAAGAGTGCAAAAAGTGACAGTGAGAAGAGGAAGTAGGCCCACCAGTATGTTCCCCAGACAGTATCCCTGAGGCCCTTGATAGAACACACACCCCTGTGCTATGGGTAAAGATTCCGTCTTACTGTATAGACTTACAGTGATTGTCTTTCCCTTTAGCTGGTGTATTCATTCCTTGTCCCTTGTACATTTCACTTTGTATCTCCCTATTGAAACAGAGCGATGGAATGGAACATATTAGATCATCCATGTCCAGTCTTTGCCAGTGCAGGATTATTCCCTGTGCTGTCTTGTGCCATCTGTTTTTATATGATCCAGCTAGTAGGGCTTTCCCTGCATCCCTGGGGAAGACTGCACCATGACTGAGTTGGCCTAACAGTCGGGAGATTTTATTGTTTTCTGTTGGCTAGCTTAAATTGGCCTTGGTCCTCCACATGCTTTGAGTTCAGCTGTAGAAAAGCATTGCCCTTATTCTAGGTTTTGGATTTCTTGGCTTAAATATACACTCTAGACAGAAGAATTCAGTAGTTAAATGAGCCAGTTCAGAGTTGGGGTCTAACTACACCTTCCAGGATCATTTCTAAATTTTGCAGCTCAGGGGCAAGCTGCATTTCCCCTGTCTTTGCCTTCTCTATGACACAATACTCCAGTGTGAATTTTCACTCATCTATTCTGTTAGCAGAGTTTTAACTTCATAAAAACATCTTTTCCAGGCATCTGGCATGATTAATGTTCACTCAGCATCTTTTTTTCCCTTAAAAAAAAAAACACTGTTGATTTTGTGTTTAGTTGAAACATTGTTCTTCTCAGTTGCCTCAATGGCCAGCCAATCAGTTCTCTGTACATCCATCTAAGAAGGACAGAGGGAGGTGGCTTCATTATTGTCACAGGGGACAGACATTCAACACTTTGAATAATTGGCTTTCAATTTGCAAGTTTGCAGTTCTATCCAAAATGTGGGTCAAATGTGCAGTGCAATCCACAGTGGACTCATTGCTTAAAATATGAACATCTTTATGTTGCCAAAATTGGTTTCACATCTCAGCTCAGCAACAAGCTCACAACATCACCTTGGCAGCTTACTATCTCCTGGCCATGCTTTTTCCACATCTGTAAAATGGGGAGAATGCTGACCTGTGGCATAAGACTTTAAGTCTGCACTTGGGAGTGGTGGCAGAGTGGCCTGCCTTAGTTTGAGATTGAAGTAGCAGGTTGCAAAATGTTGCTGTTACTCTCCTCAGGTTGAAGGCAAAGTATTTGGGCATGGAGTAATGCAGAGACTGTCCTTTGGAAATGGTTTTGTTTGGCATGTGCATATGGATTGGAAGCCACTGCTGATACTTTTCCAGTGTTCCTTTTTGTGTGCATGTTTTGTCTTCCCAAGAGGAAGAAAAATCCAGGCAATATCTGCAAAATTGCATTGCTCCAGGCTGAAACGAATACATACTTAACTCTCTGTACACACACTTACTCTCTTTCAGTACTATTTATCTTCCCTAGACCATCTATTTTTGTGAGCACATGAAAACATTAGGGGAAGGGGTTGGAGGAATGACTTACATAATTGGAAATGCCACAAAGATAGCGCTTTAAAACGCCCGTCTCCATTCTCTCTCTAGCTAACCCACAAGTTGGAAATAGGGCAGATACTGACTCCCCCCTCCTCCTATCTCTTTAAACACAGGAACTCTGGTCATGGAAGCAAGGACACGTGGTCGATTCTTGGCAGTCTGCAGTCTGTGGAGCTTTTGCAGGTGCAAAGGATTATATGTTATCCTGGGAAATGCTAAAGAAGAAAGGAGGGGAGGAGGGGAAATGTGCAAATCTATTAAGGTTTGCAGCACAGCAGCATTCTTTTATAATTCCAGTTTGTTTAGAACAAAGAAAATGGATCTCCCTGCATGGAAGGGGTTGGGTGAGGGTGGGAGGAAAGGGAGAAAAGGTGAGGTTAGGGAATCCAGGCAAGGGTGTCTGTTTGACAGACAGCCAATTTGTTTTTGACAAATTTCTGTTATTGAACAAACAGGTCCTGTCAGTCAAGCTCTGGGATTATCCCAAGGTTGAGTTGTAAAACCCTCTTGTGTGAAGAGAGACCCCATTTGGGTGCAGGTTTGTGCAGCTGTCTGCCCTGAGCTCCTCTTGAGGGCTTTCAGTAAGGGGCCATGATTCACTGTTCATGTGACAGTTCTGACAGCACTCTAGATTAAGTAGAGTCAGGAGAACAGAATGTCTAAATGCAGCAGCCTCCAGGCGGAAACTTTCCATGGAGGAGAACCGGAGGCTGAAACATCTGGGCAGTCTCCGGACACTATGCCTGGAATGAAGAGTGGCAGGGCGTGCTCTGGGACGATTTATTGCAAAACAAGCTGGAAGTTAATTGAATTCTTAAAGAGCCACCTTGCCTTATTATAACAGCCTGCTTTAAAATAATTTCCTTTAAGATGTCACAAGTGGCTCATCCCACACGTCTGACAAGGAGCAGGGAGGGGAAACTTAATGGTCTGATAGAAATCTCAGGTTAGTGGTGGCTCAGGATGGAGGGGTAAGATCTTTTTTCCAGAAGGAAGTAAAATGTACTGCATAAGGTTCTGAAGTGGTCATGGGGAAAAGCAAATTGTGAATATGGGAGTAGGAATAGTACATTTTGATTTCCCTGAAGTATATTTCATCCTGTTATAATATTAGCCTACTTCTAGAAACAAAGAGGAAGAAGTGTTTTCCTCCGAGTATGCAGCATAGTGATGCAAGTTCTTTTAGATTGTGCTCTGATACGCACTTGCCTGGGTTTCAATCCCACTGATCTCAATTGGCTTTTGAGCAAGAATGTATGGGATGACATGGTTGGTCACCCACTTAATCCCACCGGCAGCCGACTTACAACATTTACCAAAATGTGTAATAGCAGTTTTAGTGAATGCCTGCTTGACCTGTGCGTGCCCCAGTTGGATAGCTCCTATGCTTTCCTTACTTGGAAGTTTAGTCTAATGAAATCAGCAGGACTTACTGGCATACATGCACATTTGCCTCTTTATTCTAGCAATTCCCAGAGTGGTAGACCATACTAGTCAGTTGTAGCAAAAACAGCAGAGTTCTGTGACATCTTAAGGACTTAACTGATTCGGGATACTTTGTCCATTACCTTAAAGCAGCCATTCTTGAACAATGAAATTTGCAAGGAAAATATTAACACAGAATTTATGAACTACTACTCATCAAGAGATTTGTCTTATATTTCCTGTGGTTTAAGTAAGGTCAAAGGAGCAGGAGACAGGGCAAGAGGATTGATCCTATTGCCTGTGTTAATTGGCTCATCCCTGCAGTGATATCTGTGTTACCAAGCAGTGTTGCATCATAAGAACATAGGACGAGCCTTGCCAAGCTCAGACCAAGGATCTAACCAGTCTTGCATTCTGTTCACACTGTAGCCCACCGGCTGCCCAGAAGATCTCCAAGTAGGGTATGAGCGCAACACCACTCTTCTGCCCAAGTTCCCCAGCGACTGGTGTATAAACACAATGCCTCTGATTCTGGAGGTAGCCGCAGGACTAGTAGCTACTGATAATCTCCTCCATGAATTACCTTGATACAGCAATTGTTGTAAATATGGAGCCTCTGCTCAAGATGGCTTGGGGTGCTGGCCCAAGAATATTCCAGGCCTTTTCCATGAATTCTTCACTTCAGTCTCAAATTCAAAGTCTACTTCTTTTTAGTTGGAAAGGTATCGGGATGAATAGATGGCCAATATGCTATCCATTTGATTGCTAAGGAGTAAATGTCTTCCATTTCTCAATTTTCTTGGCAGAGGCCCTGTAATAAATGGACAGTTTCTTTTAAAAATAAAATTAAAGGTTGCTCTCACTGAATATGTATCCTTCTTATCATGAGCTGTCTGGCTACTGGCCTGCTTTGAAGTACACACAGCCCTCTCTTCCCTGTGAGGGATTCCCAGTAGCTTCTGTGGAAAGTACAGTGCTGTTTGCGCAAAGCAGTGTACACATGATTGTTTTAAGAAGGAGACTCCAGGGCAGCCACCAGCTGTGAGGCCAGTCCGAATGCCTGGGTGTGAGCAGTTGTCCATAGGTCCCAGGTGTTGCACTGGGTGTGGCCTTCCCCTATTCATCATGGAGAGGTGTTAGAAAACTGGGACACTGGGGGAGAATCTGTTGGCTGGTTGCTGAGAAACTACTGAAATTCCATATTTCCAAATTACAGGCTGAATAAGTTGGTTGCTTTGAAGCAGCCAGATTTCCCCGTCTCTTCTTCAAAGCCATCCTGGAATAGACATGAAGCTGTCCATACAGGAACAGGGCCTTGCAGAAGTCAACAGCCACTGTGGCTTTTCTACATTTAGTTGTGTGAAAGTTTTCATGCAACCTGAATTGAAGGATCTAGTTGTCGCCACTTGCTGTATGCAAGTCACTCCACACTGTGAGGTTGCAAACTATTTTTACTGTGACATAAAATTGAAGTGAACAAAATCAGACTGGCACTTGTTGCTTCCCTGAATAAATACTAGGTAGAAGAACCTCTGGCAGCAATTAGAACCATGAGTCTTCTTGGGTAAGTTTCTGTCACTCTTGCACATTTGGATCCTGCAGTGTCTGCCCAGTCCTCCTGTCCAAAGTGTTCCAGCTCTGTCAGGTTGAACAGGGATTGTTGGTGGACAGCTTTCAAATCTTACCATGGATTCTCAGTGGGGGTGAGGTCTTGGCTTTGAGTGGGCCATTCTAAGACATTTGGGCTCCTATTTCTGAACCACTCCACTGTTTCTATGGCAGTGCAGGTAAGGTCATTGTGCTGCTGGAAAATGAGCCTCCTCCCTGGTCTCAAGTCCCTTGCAGGCCAAAACAGGGTTTCCTCTAGATTTGCCTTGTATTTGGATCCATCCACATTTCCTCAATCCTGACTAGATTTCTAGACCTTGATGAGGAAGTGCATCTGCAGAATGATGCTGCCACTATGTGCTTCACTGTGAGGATGGTGTTCTCAGGGTAATGATCACTGTTGGTGTTCAAGCATTCACATTCTGTGGCAGGGCCAGAAAATCCAATTCTGGTCTCATCAGACCAGAGAGCCTTTTCCCCTATATATCCTGTGGCCCATGCACCTCTTTGCAAACTCCAGCTGGGCTTCAGCAAGCTTCAGCAAAGGCTTATATCTCACCATGAAGGACAGTGTTGTGAAATATTGTCCCATGGATGGTTTCTCCCATCTCAGCTGTGGGTGTCTCCAGTTCCTTCAGAATTACCATTGGCCTCTTGGGTGCTTCTCTGATTAATGCCCTCCTTACCTGGCCACTGAGTTTTGGTGGACAGCCTTCCTGAGGCAGATTCATGGTTAAGCCGTTTGTTTTCATTTTTTAATAATGCATTTATTTAATGGTTTTCTGGAAGAAGTTCATAGTGCAGGATTTTTTAAATAACCTAACTCTGATTAGTACTTCTGTCCATCTTTAGTCAAGGGTTGATTTGTTAACTCTTTGGCCTTCATGATGCTGATTGTTTAGGTTTGCTCGGCAGCAACCTTTGGTGCATTTACTTTGAAAAATGTGTGCATTTACTTTGAGAGCATGTGGCACTGGATTAGCACACCTGTGTACTCCATTCAACTACTGGAGTATGCATTCAGCTACAGTATGTGACTTCTGGAGACAGTAGGTTGTACCAGAGCTTATGCTGACATGTCAGAGCAAAGGACGCGAATGCTTCTGTAGCCATCAAGTGCCTGTTTGTTTTTGTTGATCTAATTTTTTGTACTGCAATAAACATATTTTGGACTGTCATAATTGAGTATCTTATGTACACCAATTACAGCTTGTAGCACAGCAATATGTGGAAAACTCGAAGTGGGGTGAATACTTCTGCAGGGAACTGTATGTGTATTTGGAAAGATGCTGGAGAGCAAGGTCTAGAACAAGCTCTGTTAAGGTGTTATGTTGCGATGTTATCTGCTTGATCCCATTTTCCTTTCCCCTTCAGTATGTCCAGCTCCCCCACATACTACATGAACATATTATTTGTGCAGAGGTCATCAGAGAAAAGAAACATGTAACTATAGGACAAAATAAAACCATAGATAAACACTACAATTTGTAAACATAACTGAGTAAAATGGGTTGCGCGAGAGTTGCTTACATTCTTCACCATGTTGCAGGTCTCTTGGAAGGGAAATAAAAGTTTATAATCCCAAGCCACCAGCCTTGATCACAGCAATGCTGCCAATCCCACAAAGAGTGTATTCAGCCACTATAACCGTCTGAGCCTCCCTAGCTGCTCATGTTCTTTGCTTTACCACAAAATTTACTTAGAGCCTTTTAGAGGTCAGAGGAGAGAAAAACATTAAACAAGATAAACGCACCCTCCTGTTTTGAGCTCTTGTGTTAACCAAGAAAAAATATTGGCTCCTTTCTTTCTTATTCATAATGTTGTATACTTGGCTGTGGGAAAACAAACATAACTTCTAAGTTAAATGCTTAACACTATCTTGTGTTTTCTTTTTTTAAACCCTATAAAATTGTTCTGGTTGAAGTAAACATTCTGTGATGGCTTAATGATTTCTAGTGTCTTTCTTAGTTCTTTTTATCCAAGTGTCTATAAAGAACTGCACATCTGTTCAATAAAGACTGGGGAATATAAACTGTAGAATCAAGATGGGAAGCTGGGAACCAAAGAATTGACTGGCTGGTAGAAATCTGAAATTTTGAATCCATTCCCCAGCTAACTGCTTTCTCTCTAGTTTCCTCAGGTAAAATCCA